CGATAGTCAGTGCACAATTCAGCTCTAGGTACCTCATGAAATCTATCCAATAAAGATTTGTTGAGAAAAGGGGCTGACGTAGGCTTCATCATATAGGTTCAGCAGAACCCAGTAACTTAACAAAATTGACTAAAATAAGTACAAAAATTAATTTTAGAACCCAGTTACTACTTACTAGCACTTGAGATCATTGTACTAGAATCCAGAACCCATAAAGTTCAAATCTCAGATCCCCTCTGATTACAGATAAGAAAAATAGCTTTTGTTATACAAAATTCAGCAGTAGGTACCTCAGTGAACCGGTGGAATAGCTCATCAGCCGGTTCAGAACGGTGACTGAGCAACTGAATAATTTTGGCAAAGTAATGCAAATAAACCACCAAAGCAGTGCCGTGTGCAGCAGCGGCAACTGATCCAACAACCATAAGCACCCAATCGAGTCGGTCGGCACAGGCGAAGAGCATAGAAAACGGAGCCGCTGTAGGCGGCGGCTCCATTTCCTCCGTCTCCGCATCCATCTCCTCCTCCAACTCAACCTGCATAGCATCGCCTCCGGTGTCCGCGTACGGAGAAGGAGATTCCGGCGGTTCCGATACTTCCGATACCGGCGTTAACGGTTGTATGTGTGGTGGGGACCACCCAAATAATCCTCTCGATACCATCATGTTCAGCTACCCCGTACAGCCTGTACGTCAACAAAACCCCTAACTCTAAAAACCCTAAATCAGCATTGAATTTAGGGTTTTCAAATCAGATCTAAAAAATTTGAAAATTCAACTCGAAATTGGACAGTTATGGTAGAGATATTTTTGGTATATTGAATCCGGTTTGACTTAGTCAAAGAAGGCGGAGAAAGAGTTGACTGGGAACAGAAAATTCGAGTTTTTGTGTTTTGTTGATTGGTGGAGCTGTAACGTTATTTTTTTTGTTTATGAGGGGCGATGAAAACGACGACGTTAAAGGAGACAACGGTCGTCGGAGTTTTCAGAGTTTTAACGTGGAAGAAAAAGTGGCGTCTGCGTGCTATTTTCTAGTTTTAAATGTCGGAATTTGGGTAAATGAGTTATTAAACGTGAGCTGTAAATGTGTGATACACTTTTTCTTCATAATTAAAAAGTGCTTATTTTAAAGAATTGAGGGGTTTGGCCAAATATATTTTTTAGATAACAGAAATTGTTTTTCAAAAGTTAAAAAGTTGTTTTGCCCAAAAATACTTTGAAACTTTGGTCAAACACAAATTCTTTCTCCCAAATTTTGCAAAAGCATGTCAAATTTATTAGCCACACAAGAATAACATTTCTCCAAATAAGTAAATTTAGAAGCTTGATCAAACGTGTTATTAATCTGACTCATAAAAGTATTTTTTTAATTATTTAATTTTACAATATTTTATTTCATGCACGAGACTTGTTGAAACATGAAAAATAAATGTGAAATTCTTACCAATACTTTTATATGTGTGTGTGTTAGTGCCAAGATTGCTCTATAAACCTTCTAAATATTTTACTCTATTTCGACTCATTGTATTTATACCAGAATACTAGTAATTGATTTGTTATTTTTTATAGTAAATTATGGTTCTTCTAAACTTTAAGGTTATCTGAATTTCACTTATTCATATTTGAATTAGATTGTTAAATATTTTTTTAAGATCTTTATTTTGGGAATAACTTGATGTTTCCGATATTTCAAACAGGCACAAACGTCATCGAACAAAAGAAAGGTATTGCTTATTATAAAAACTTTGTTAAGTCTTTCTTGGATGAATAATTGATGCTTAACAAATTACACTTGAATCACAAAATCGCGATTTTTAATCTTAATCACCTTGTAGTCATTATTATTCAATTAAACCCCTTTTCACTTATTAGCTATGTAGAAAAGAAAGTTAATAAATCCCTTTTCTTTGTGGTGATGGCCGATGGGGGTGGGGGCAAATGAACGTGCAAAGTGGAATGCGTATACATGATTGCTTTTGGTTTTGGGTTGGGGTGGGGGTGGGGTGGGGATGAGGCTAAGGCGGATCTAGGATCTAAATCCTTCGGGTTCAACATTTAAGGTTTTTAGCACTGAATCCATTATATTTTTAAATTTATAGGTTCATATCTATTATTTTTGTAATTTTAATAATTTNGGTTCATGTGCTTTGTTGTGTCCAGCGCAAATGCAAAATTGATTCCCATGGCTCTCCCGTCAAAGTAATGAATGCCCTATCTGTTTTTTATTTAATAATTATACTAGTAGATAAAATTTTATGACTTTATTATTATAGCAAATAAAGCTTAATTAATTTAATACGGTAAAAGTAGTTTCATGACTTATTAATTGTTAAAGTAAATAAAATTTAGCTACTTTTAACGTAATAATGATAGTTGTATTACTTTAATGTTCAAAAAAATCTAATAAACATGAAATTAATTCGGCGATCCAATTTTTTAATCTCTTATCATCTAATGTTTAGTTAAATGTCCAAATTACCTTTCAATCGATGAAAGTATCCAGATTGAAAGGGATGTTTTTCTTTTTAATTACGTAAATTGGAAAAAAAGAATCCATCTCTCAAATAGAAGGATCTATAGATATAATAAATAAATAAATAAATAAATAAAGGGGTGGGGTGGGATGGCTGGGAAAAACTTGAAGCCGCCTAAACAGGCAGATCACACTTATTTGAAACTTTATACAGATATATATGCTTTATTCCAAATGAACAAAGGACTACACGACAAAATTTTAAACGTCTTACCATTTTTTGCCAATTTGATCAATTACTCAAACAAAGAACTGCAAGTACTCCTAATTCTATCACTAATCATAACGAGTTTAGAAATAATCAAAAAAATTACGATTCTATCTGTTTGTCCATAATTTAAAAAAAAAATCTTTTTTAAAAAAATGTATTTGTCCATAAAATTTTGCAAATTTTTGAAAATGAGTTCTTCAAAACCAAAAAAATTTCAAATTTAATTCCCCACTCACAAAACTTTAATATTTTTTCATGAAAGAATTTTAAATTCCAAACATTATTTTTTAACTTAACTCTAAATATCAATTTTTTTCAAAAATTATAATTTTTATGTCCAAGCGCCTACTTAGTTTTCCTCTTTTTCTTTATATATATTCTTATTTTCATGGAGCCAAGGGAATCATAAACGGAGAGTTGTTTGTATTGTCCAAACATTAGGCCAACGAACATGAGAAAACTGGTCTTGGATTCACTCAAGAAATGTAGTATTCACTTTAACTTGGCAACTAGCTTAAATTGTTATGCTATTAATTAGAGATATCAAATCGACGGAGGGCCTTTCGGAAATAGATACTCTACCGTCATATAATAGGGGTAAGGTCTGCGCATACTTTATCCTCCCCAAATCCCACTTATGGAATTTCACTGTGCTACTTGTTGTTGTTGTAAATCGACGGAATAAAACAGATTGAGTCAATGGCGAATTATGATTGGGTGAAATTCAAAAATAGCCCGATTTATAATTGGTAATTGAAAAATAACCATAGTTTCAAAAGTAATTGAAATTTAGCCAAAAACACTGTTAAAAATCCGAAAATATTCTAGCATAATATGCTGGAGTTCGACTTTTTTACATATGAGCTTTAAGCATATTATGTTGGAATTTTATAATGTGTTGGAGTTCCATCACAATATGCTGGAAGTTTATATGCAGGAGCTCCATAATCCCGCATATTATGCTAGAACTTTCCGTGTTTCAATGACTCCGCAAACGCTGGCTATTTTTCTATTACCAGTCCGAAAAATGCCTAGTCCGTGCTATTTTGACATTATGATTCAATCTACCTAAATTTCACTTTGGAATGGACAGTACGCTAGCATTTGGCCATAGATTCCCAAATTTGTTTTGAAAAATCTGATTTTGGTGAAGTTTGGTTTGAAGATGAAAATGTGTTTGGGCATCAGTTTTTAAAACATATTTCTCAAATTTATTTTGGAAAAATATGAAACATGACTTATACCCACAAGTTCTAAAAACTATCACAAATACTCAACAATACCATTATCAATAACATTCATTATATTATCGCAAGCCATAGTCCTGAACATAAATAAATTTGGTACAAAATTATCATTTTTATAATGAACTACATGATACACTATCAGATGATCGAGAAACGAAGCAAGATTACAAAATAATAAATGGTGGGCTCTTTTATAGAATACAAAAGTTTGGGGCAATTTTTTAAAAAATATAATAGTAATATTTTGGCCCAAAATCAGCTATTGAGCTGGTTTTGGGATTTGAAATTTTGCCAAAATGTAGCAAAATCTATGGCCAAACATGTGTTTGCCAAATAAAACCTAAATTTATTTTACGGGTCCGCAAGTGTTACTAGCATTTTCTCTTTTTAAGACATGAGGAAACACACATGAATAAACATCAGTTGATATCTTATCAAAATAATAAGCAAATAACGTAAATGAAGATTGATGCAAATTTGGTTTTTCCTTTAAAACAACAAGAAAAACAGATGAGTAACATCAGTTGATGTCTTATCAAAATAACCAACAAATAATGTTAATTATGAGTGATGCAAGTTTGGTTTATTTCTGTCAATCTTGCAATAATTTTTGGGGCAAGTGCAAAAATAGTCATTCTCAGATATGTTATTTAGAGATTAGTCAGTATTTATTTTGTCCTGAAATTTTAAACTAAACATCTTAATTTTAGGACACTTCAGGGCACTTTTATCCTGAAAATTTGAATTAAAGAACTAAAATTCAATACACACTGGTTAATTCCTAAATAACAACCTTTTAGAATGACTCCCTGGTGTCATTTCTACATAGGTGCATAATATTTAACTTTAAAAGTAATCTTAGCACTTGAATATAAGAATCGTTCAATTTGTGGCACTCCACACACTTTTGGGTACATGCACCACACTAGCATACATTTCATAAAATAACGGGCTTGTGTGCCCCTGGACTATTTCACCGAGTACAACTATAATACAGATACATTTTGTCGTTTCTGATCAACCCACAAAATTTTAGGCGATTCGGAGCCCGTCGTCCCAATTCATAAAGATGACGTGGACATTAGCACATGAAAAATCACCTAGTTTTTGAACCATACCAACATACAGAAGCACTGATTTGTGATTTCCAACATTGCCATTCTGTGGCAATGTTCTATATGTTACAACTTGACAAAATTACAGAATCCTCTAATACAGGTAGAGGAAAAGAAAAGGAAGAGCGAGTTAAGCAGGAGCAACAAGTGTCATTGATGATGACATCTGCTCGACCCGATTGACATGTCTGATATCGATTTCAGGATGAGCTTTTCGAGTCCTTTTGCAGCTGGTCCTGGTCTTAGGACACTGGGATCGCCCCATTCACCGCAAGGATCACTGAACCAATTTGAGCTACCTAAACACCAACCTCCAGGTGAGACCATACCCCGACCACGATTAAGAATGTGTGCATCAATCATGTCCAATAAGGGAGAATCTGCTGATATGTTTCCAACGAATGCGACCTCCCTTCTTAGTATTCTATCGGAATTTGAAGCTCTGAAGTTTGAAGGATTAGTGTTGTCTGAGTTAATGAATCGCAAGTTGGAGTTGATGACAGCGTCTGAAAACTCCTTAGTATTGCATGCAAGAGTCTGAAAATATCCTTTATGAGAAGATCTAGTGTTCGAGAAGTATAGCAGGAGCAATCTTGGCAAATTTTCCCATCCCTGGATCGTGTACTCAACAAACTTCCTGTTCAGAATTACATGTTGAGAACCTGACGAATCAAGCAGGCTTTGGTCAACAAAATGGCATTCAATAAAAGTGTTATTCTTGAAGGGAACATCTCTGAGGATCCATAAACGACTTCAGAAGCGCTCAAAGAAATTATCAGAAAATATTTTAGCCTGACTGAAGAAGTGAAAAATGAAAGAAGCAATTAAGAGTTAAGACCAGACAAACATGTAAAGAGGCACCAATAGATACTTGTGGAGTACAACGGGCAACAAAAGCCTAGGATTTTGAATGCAACACAGTTGTTTAGCAAAACAGAAAGTTTCAGAACTGATTTTCCTCAATAGGCAATTAAAATAATGCTCACTGCAAAAAAGAACTTCAAGAAGACATATGCTCGGTAGATGCTACCATAAAAATGCACCACTCCCTCTATCCCAATTTGTTTGATGCATTTCCAACATCGAGAGTCAAACCGTGAATTTGGACATGGAATCCTTAAGTTTTTTGAAATAAAATTTATATATTTGGAAACTATTCAAAAGTACTATAAGTCACAATAATTAAGAATTCAAAATATTTAAAAGGCATACGAAAAAATCATGGTTAAAGAAAAACTCATTTGACTCTCGAAATTCGAAATGCATCAAAGAAATTGGAACAGAGGGGAGTATGAATCTTTTTCAAGACTAACCTTGAAATTTACTTAACTAGCTTAAACTCCAAAAGCAGTTATATTTAATACAGCTAGAGCTCACACATGAACACGAAGTTGTCTTTATCCAGATGAGGTATCTCAGCTCCAAGGCACATTGCCGACAAAAACGTCGAGATAATCTCTTAAAACAAATGAATTTCCCATATTGAAAAGAAGATTAATGATTAGCATCGCAGATTGGCAATCTCAGCTTCAGCATCATTGGAGAAGGACAAGAAACCGAAAATGATCTGGCAAGAAACTTACCCATAAAAAATCTAAAAGCACTAGGAAGTTCCCGTTTTTTGTCACCTACAAACATCTTTCCTTTCAAGAGAATGTAGAGGCGAGAGTCAACGATAACTTCCACAGCCCTTTGATGTCTGAAAACAAAACCCGAACATTAGCATCTTTATATAATTGCAAAACAGCAAATAAGTGTGAAGGACTTCGAAAGTATAATATTACTTACTCATCCGGGCTGGTATTCTTACTATATTCTATGAAATTCAAATTCCTTGGAACAAAAGACAGGATGTGGAGAAAATCTGCAGGAAATGTAACATTTAATGCATCAGCTCTATTACAGATGAAAAAATCGACAATTATTTTCAGGGTGTGTAGACATCATATCGGTATTACTGATGAACTCGAGACAGTTTTGAGGTAAATAATGAAGTTAAAAACACTATGAGACACCTCAGTTTAAGTTTAGTAAGAATTTTGGGGAAGGCAAACAAAAGAACGAGAACACAGGCATGAGATAATGGCAGGCTTCTGAGAGATAACATCAACGGCACGAGTTCCATTCCACATCCCATGGGCCATGAGAAGGGGTGAAACCAGAATAACATGCACTTTATAATTTTTTTTCTTCATTTTCTGTGAATATTGTCAGGAGTTAAAACAAGGTTGAGGAACTAGACTTTGATTAATCTGTCATGAAATGACAAGGAAGTGTTAATGACCTTTAAAGGGTACTTACTGATGAATATATTGGCCTTTATGTAACCAATGAAACTTAAACGGAGTAATGACTCCACAAAGAAGAGATTAGTGACATTATGACACTTGAGACATCTTGGCCTAGCGATGAGACCATTAGAAGACTCTTTGATTCTTACGGATCAGTACCCTACTCTTTCTTATTGTTGCACGTAGACATAACTGTCATTCGTCACTACCTCCAGGCTTTAGTATGGAACATGTCTAATTTGGATTTTGGGCCCAAGCTTGAGTCTTTTTTTATAAAGGCCCAAGCTTGAGTCATAATTGTGCTAGTGCTAGAAAATTAACTCTAACTCTTCCATCTTCAAATATGGAAAGTGCTACAATATATGGGAGCAAATTATTAGTCTTTAGAGGAATCAGTGCAAGATAGAAATGGATTATACCTTAAAAGGGATATACCTTTTGCATTTAGAATGAGTAAAGAGGATTTGTATAGCTGAATCCGGACCCAACTAATTTGGAATTGAGGCTTGGATGATCTAATGATCTACTCTTTGTAATGCAATAAATGCAGCTTAACCTCAGCTCGATCTCACAAGATTAACCGTCAATTTTTGGAAACTCTAAAAATGCTCATTAAGTTTGCTAACCCATGCTCGGCCTAATCAAACCTACAATAAGTGACTGAATTAAACTTTAACAGGTTCTAATCAGCTTGATTTTTCTTTTGACGGTGGTGTCCGCCACCAGCTTGCACACAGGTTGACTGTTCCACTGGGTACCTGCTATCTCCAAATTCTGCCACCCAGGCTTGCTTGTTTGCCTCCACTGGGATTTGAACTGAGATCTCATGGTTCCCCCCCACCCA